TTAGGGGCGATCAGGCAGGCAAGCGGTTAGGAGCCAGCGGTCCTGAATTGCGAGAGGGATGTCTGACTGCCAGTTTAGGCCCGATTCCTCAGGGATCGGGCCTAAAGTGGCAGTCGGACATCCCTCAAGGGGTCAGATTGCGAGAGGGTGCAGGCCAGGCTGAGGGGCCCCCGCCCCATGCAAAAATTTTGTGCACTGGGCCTCTAGTCTATAATAATAAAAGCATAATATGCTAAGTAGACCAGACGTCTTTCCGGACATCCTTCCTTCTGGACAAAGCCACAGCAGGTAGGGGCCGAGGCAGAGGCGGCAGAGGCCCCCAGCCGCGGGTGGGCGGGCCGGCAGGGGCTGGGACCAAGGCCCTTGCACGAATTTCATGCATCGGGCTTCTAGTCTATATATATAAAAGCCTAAGCAACCGAACAACCAAACGACTGGTGACCAGACGTCTTTCCGGACATCCTTCCTTCTGGACAAAGCCACAGCAGGTAGGGGCCGAGGCAGAGGCGGCAGAGGCCCCCAGCCGCGGGTGGGCGGGCCGGCAGGGGCTGGGACCAAGGCCCTTGCACGAATTTCATGCATCGGGCTTCTAGTCTATATATATAAAAGCCTAAGCAACCGAACAACCAAACGACTGGTTGACCTGTCACTATGATGCGCACTGACCACCAGGGAGACGCTCAACTCCCCCCAGCCAGCCGGCCTCATAGCCCCATCAGGGCAGCCGGCCAGCCTCCCACAGCCCCACCCCCCAATCGCCAGCAAGGCCAAGGGACCCCACCCATGCACGAATTCATGTACCGGGCCTCTAGTATTGCAACAATAGTGAACGGCATCGCCGGGTGCCGCATCTGGTACCACATGCAGATTACACATCCAACCTCAACAAACCACTGCTTCCTGCCCAGTCCTATCACATGGGTCTGCCATCTAGCCTGTGGTGGATGGTTTTAGTAATGACCAATAACAACCAAAAAGAACAAGAAAATTACGTAAGTGACTCCCACTATGCTTGTATTGGACAGCGCTGGTCCAAAAAGAGTGGCTACCAGGAAAAGAGAACAGTAAATGCTATTTCAGTGTACACAACCATGGTAATCATGCTCAGACTCCATCCAAAGAACGTGCTCTGACACTCTGACTTCACAAACACACATACCACACAGGGATGGCCATATATTTTAATCCAAACATCAAAACAAACCCTACATTACTATTCTACACAAGCGGCTGTGCAGCACGCACTCGGACGGAGGGGAGCAGGTGCCATAACCTAATTTCTCACATCACAGCACTGGGGGAAGGAGGGAGGGAGCCAGGTCTGAGGAAGGCCAAAGTGAAGCTCCACATGCTCACAAGCACAAACTGAAAGGTCATAACGGAGTTGGAGCTCTTCTCTGGAAGCTCAAAACCAGCACCAAGAAATCTAAATAAAACACAGCGTCCATCCAAGGGTGAACACTACTCAGATCTAGAGGGCCTTTATAACGACCACACGGCAGGCTCTGATTCTGTAGGCAAACCTAAATCAAAGTAATCCCTGCACATAAAAAGAATTATCATAGAAGGAATAGAACAGGTTTATTGATGAGATTTTCCCATACCAAAAAGAAAGCCAGCAAACAATTCAGACAGTTTATCCAACAACACTAACACAGATTTTTAAACGCATCTTAAAAAAAAACTGTCCGACTGGAGTTGTTCTAATATGCTTAGAATCACTTTCATAGTAACCATTACACAACCCTTCCTTCCTTAGCTTCTTATATAAGCTCTGAAATCATCAATGTTTACATAGGGTTTTGAAAACTCAAGTTTTCCTGTAAATATTTAATTCTCTTGTTGCTACTGATCCTACTACAAACAACGCAGCACTTTTATAACATGTTTAGTAATAAGAGGGACATTGACGTCAATAGCACACAGTCCATAAACCAAAAACACCAGAATTACCAGATAGCCTCTCAGAAATCAGCTGCTAAAATAGCAATTTCTCCTCAATCCTCAAAGTTTTTGATCCAGTTTATATCCAAGTCCCGCTCATATGGGGATCAACTTCTAAAATGAGCCTGAAATAGGCACCCTGGTCTACAGGCTCCAAGCACTGGGCAGAGCTGGTATTCTCCTTTACATATATACTTTTTTTTTTTTTATTGATTTCAGAGAGGAAGGGAGAGGTAGAGAGAGAGATAGAAACATCATTGATGAGAGAGAATCACTGATCCACTGCCTCCTGCACGTCCCACGATGGGGATCAAGCCCCCAACCAGGCATGTGCCCTGACTAGGAATCGGACCGTGACCTCCTACTAAGCCTTCTCTTTTCTGTTTAATAAGAGCTTAATTTGCTGGAACCTGTACTGATAGTGTCGAAGAAAATGGGATAAGCCAATCATTCAACCAGTTTCCTACACTGCCACAATAGTCGAAACAATGAGGTGGAAATGGCATACACGTGAAGCCAATTTACCATCTGACTGGACAGACTGGGGCAACTAATGAATTACAGAAACATCATCATTATTGAGCTGTGCGTGAGAGCTCAGAGTAAAAGGAACTCAACAGGGCTTGAAATGGTCAGAAATGACTTTGGGGAAGTGAAACCTCAAGTCAGGCTCAAAGGGTGGAGAGTCCCAAGTGGGAGGCAACCATGGAGTCCAGAGACAGGTAGGAGTAGGGCATGTCTTTAGGACATGAACACAGCCAACCCCCAGCAGCTGTGGGAGGTGGAGGAAGAAAACCCCTTGCAGGGTCAAAAGACTCTCAAACGTCCAATGTAAACACAACTTTAGGAAACCTGGGTTTCTGGGCAGAAGAAGAGAGCAGAAGGAGCCCACCGCTGAATAATCTTAAAGTGGAAGATCAAGAAGCTTGTGTGTTAATCCAAGTACAAGAATCTTGGCAACTGGGATGATGGAAGTGACAAAGAAAAGGGGATGAACAGAGGGAGCGATGTCAAAAAAAAAGAAAACACAAAAACAAATCAAAAACTTGGTGTCTAAGAAAAGAACAAGAGTGCCCCCTTCAGAAATAAGTAAGGATGTGGGCTTGACAAGACAAGTAATGTCAAGGTCTGAATATGTTAAACCTGAGCTTGTCCTGGCACGTCCGTCTGACAAGTGACCACCACAGACCACCAGGAATGTGAGAAAGTAGCTCTATGAAACAACACAGCAGAGAAAAATTTGTAAGTTGAAATATAAGGGTGGTAAGTGAAACTGGGATAGCATTTATTTTGTGGGTATCCCTCACTTCCCTAATCATTAATAAATATTACATACAATCTGATGATGATGGCTTAGGGGGAAAAAAGGCTACAAAACAAAAAAACGATGTGGGAAGCCGCCTACTGTCTTCTCTAGCAGAGAGGTGTGGACAAGGAGCCCGGAATGGTGGTGACCCTTGAGCTCTGGCTTACGTCAGGACTATGCACCCACTGTTAGTCCAGACAATGGTAGCTGAAGCAGCTTCCCCACCAGATAGTCATGTAATTCCTTACTGATAAGACAGTCTGTCTGTTACTGGAACTTGCCTGCCTAAGGGCTATAGATGTATCCCAGAATGAATAAGAGGATGGCAAGGCCTGAGCCCAAGCGGAGTCCTTCCTCTTGGGATGGGCTCCCGCCTGACCCCCCAATTTCCAAATTATTATTTCTTGTCTTATCTCTTTCATTTGCGTGCGGCCCCTCTTCCAGAGCCCGAACCCTGGGGGGGGGGGGGGGGGGGGGGGGGGGATTCACAAACTAAAAGAAATATGCAAAAATAATCACAATGGTGTCATTAGGTGTTGACATCGAGAATATTTTCTTCTTAATTTTTGGAAGTTCCTAGGTTCTACTTATTTTTTTAAATAACAAAGACAATTTCATTAGAAAATGAAAGTAAACATTTTTAAAAAAGAATGATCCCCTCTAAGCATTTGTGAAAGCTCTTATAGTTGTACACCTAAACAGTGAATTTTATTATATGTAAATTAAAATAAATAAAAATACCATTAACAATGTTTTACACCCACTACACTGAATAAATTTAGTTTTGACAATACCAAGTGAAAAAAATGTTTATCAGTAAGAGTGCAAGTTCTTGCAACTTCTCAGCAGAAAAGTACCAACAATATCTAACAAAATTTAAAAACTGAAGCCCTGGCCAGTGCGGCTCAGTGGTTAGAATGTCACCCCATGGACTGAAGAGTCTTGGGTTCGACTCCCAGGTTCAAACCCAGCCCCAGTTGGGGGGTATGCAGAAGGCAACCAATCAATGTTTCTCTCTCTCTCTTTTTCTTTCTATTTCCACTCTTTAAAAAAAAGATGGAAAAAATACCCTGGAGTAAGGATTAACAACAAAAATTAAAAACTGAAGGACCTTCTGCACTATGCCCAACAATTTTACTGCCAGGAATTTATTATGAACAAAATATGTACAAGAAATTTCACTGTTGAATTGTTTAAAATAGAAAAAAAAATTAAAATAACCAAAATGCCCATCAATCTTTGGTAGCAGGAGAGGGTAGGCGGAAAGAAGGGGAAACAAGGAATGCTCCTTGGCAACGTATACATGCTTAGCCTCACTGCTTAAACTGCAGAATGCTTGAGAGAGAGAGTAAGGCAACAGGTCTTAAATGCCTTTACACCCAGGGTTCATACATATGACCCTGACCAAGAGCACCAACAATAGTAGGTACTCAAGTGTTTGCTGATAAAAAAAACAAACTCAAAAACATGTAAAACAAAAAGACTTACCTCCTACCTTGTTATTAATGTAAGTGGCAAGACTGTGCCTACTTATTTTCTAGTTTAATCTACGTGGAATGTGGCCTAAAGAAGTCCATTACCTTATCATTAGCATTAACCTAACAATTATTCCCAGAACTACACTTAGACTGTTGCTGACATGCAAAGGGTGAGGTCAAGCGCAGATGAGCTCTAACACTACAAGGCTACAAGCTGTCAGCACGACTCTATCATGAAACACAGGACGACAAAGATTGTATTTCAGACGCACCTAAATGCCGGGACGTGGACCTGTCCATGTGCTTTCCATTACACGCCACTGAGCTCCATTTCCTTGTGCTGTCGAGGTCCAAGCTCGAAACCAGGCAGGGAGTCCCGATGAGCAGAGTAAGACCTAGCCAGAGAAGAAACAGATGATAAATAAAGAGTAACAGCAAACGCAGCAGGAGGCACACTGCATGGACGGCATCCACTTCTCACTCCAGGAACTTGCTGTTACTTCTTCGCTTCTAAGGAGTATCTCCCAGGCCCAGCCCATCCCTGGGCAGGATCACAGACTGCACCTTTGGTCCCTTAAAAATCAACTCTCCATTTGCACAAATATTTGGGAAGATGGTATTTTAGAACATCTGGAAAAAGCAATTTTGTGCTCACTTGGGCTTTCTTCCTTGACAATTTTTTCCTCTCCGCCTCACCTGAGAACATTTTCACTGATTTTTAGAGCACTGGGAAGGGAGAGAGAGAGAGAAACATCAACGTCAGAGAGAAATACTGATCGGTTGCCTCCTGCACATGCCCAGGCTGGGGCCGGAGACAAAACTGGCAACCTAGGTATGTGCCCAGACAGGGAATTGAACCCTCAACCTTTCGGTGTACAGGATGAGACAGCGCTCCTACCAACTGAGCCACGCCAGCCAGGGCATTTTCTTTTTTTTTTCTTTTTTTTATATTTTATTGATTTTTTACAGAGAGGAAGGGAGAGAGATAGAGAGTTAGAAACATCGATGAGAGAGAAACATCGATCAGCTGCCTCCTGCACATCTCCTACTGGGGATGTGCCCGCAACCCAGGTACATGCCCTTGACCGGAATCGAACCCGGGACCTTTCAGTCCGCAGGCCGACACTCTATCCACTCAGCCAAACCGGTTTCGGCGAGGGCATTTTCTTTGATAATTTTTTAATTCCATATTCTCTAGAACAGGGTTTTGATTTAAAAAAACAAAACAAACTTTTTAAGAACTTTCTTCCACAACCTGGGAACCACTGGGCCCACACTTTATAGGTAAGAAACTCAAGCGGGGTAAGGGCTCCTCGTCAAGGCCTCAGAGCTTATAAGAGATGCGGCATCACAGCGTGAGCCCTTGCCTCTCATTTTACCTCTACAATGCCCCCAAGGCCTCCCCTAGAATGAACTGAAGATACTGCATTTGTGGAGAAATCAAAGATTTAATTATTCAAAAACCACCTTCTTTTAAATAATACATTGGAGGGTGCTTCCATAAAAGCAGGTCACATTCTATTTAAGCTGGGCTATTACTAGGTACACAGGCTCATTTTATTGTTTATTAAATTAATGTATTTATACATACTTGCACCTATGCATATATTTCACAATTTTACGAAAACCCAGAGCCATGGCCAGGTGACTCAGTTGGTTGGCGCATCCCCATACACCAAAAGGTTTGACTACCTGGTCGGGTGAGTGCGGGAGGTAACAGATCAATGTTTCTCTCTCTCTCTCTCTCTCTCTCCCTGCTTCCCTTCCTCTCTCCAAAAATCAATTAAAATAAAACAGCCGGACTCCTGCGGCGGTCTCTGGAAAAGAAAATCGCATGAGGTAGTGATAGTTTAGCCAGATACCAACACATTCCTCATTAGAAAATACTTAAGCTGTGAATCTTTCACCTCCACTGTTTGTTTTGGGAGAGTGAGCATCACCATTCACCAATGACCCCAAAGTCAATATGCACATAAAAGGCATCACACTTGTAGCAGCCCAGCCTTTAATGAACCTCCAGTGATCCTATTAATTTTTTAATTAACTTCAGACACTAAACATAAACCTTTCGCTGTCTGGGACAAAAAATATTAGTAGTAAGTTTGAGTGATTAGAATATGAATGGAGAAATTCTGTTTTTCTCTAAAACATATTTTTGCATGTGAGGCAAAATAAATAAAGTAACTTATTTCCCAAAATAAATTACTGGTAACCAACAATCTATTTTAAGCTATGTCTATTAAAAATTACAGAGCCCTAGGTTCGATTCCGGTCAAGGGCATGTACCTTGGTTGTGGGCACACACCCAGTAGGGGGTGTGCAGGAGGAAGCTGATCGATGTTTCTCTCTCATGGATGTTTCTAACTCTCTATCCCTCTCCCTTCCTCTCTGTAAAAAATCAATAAAATATATATTTTTTTAAAAATAAAAATTACAGAGTCAGAGGGAGGCACAAAAGCAACATCCATTAGTGAGGATTGGGAATAATGGAAAGAACATGAAAAAAAGTAATGAAAAGCTTTGGAAGAACAGCTTATTTTTTCATTACATAAACTCTAATCATATATATTGTTCTTTCAAAAATACAAGTTGCACACGTGTAGTATAATCCCACTTTTATTAAAAGTATAATTATATAGTACATATTTGTGGACAGAGAAAAGGGTTAGAAAGGATAAACATCAAACCACCTTGGAGTCTAGGGGGTATAAGAGTTGGTGACTTCTGAAATTTGCTTTATACAATTCTGACCAGTTAGAATTCTTTTCCAACATGCATATGCTTCCTTTGTAAATCCTTTATAGAGCTGAAAAAACCATGTTAATTTCTTTTTAAGTTTCCATGAAGGCAAAGCTGCAAATCTACCAAATGTCATTTTAGCTACAAATCATGGGAAAATTCTGAAAGGATAAGTAAAAGTCACAGACCATGAAGATGTATTTTTGGAAAATATTTTCTTAAAGCTGATTGGTAAGATGAGTATTTGGAAGAACTGGCTTTCAAACTCCACCGACCAAACTACCATAGACCAAAACACAGAATTAAGTCAGAAGTTCTAATATTGGAAAAACGCAAATTTATTTTTGAGGAAAGACCTAAGCAGGAAGGGTCACTCAACAAAAACAAGCCTGCGTCATCAGTGAGCATCCTTGAACTTGCGTCACAGCACCACTGGAACACCCCACCCTTCATACATTCCACCACACTCGGAAGCATGAACACCTGCCCTCGAGCACAGGGCTACGGGGCTGAGGTCAAAGGCCAGGCCGCATGGCCCCATGAGCAGGTCAGAGGAACCTCACTTGGAGCACAAAGATGCCTGACTTTCCCCCAGAAAGGCCACTGGGAACTTACAAAAACTGTTCACAGTGCTTCTGCTGTTCGTTCATTGGGATTTTCAAAATGCTATCTGTGGTGATTCGCAAATTTTTATTTCATAGAGAGAAAAATAGTCACTAAAAAATTCAGGTGAATTTTAGAATTAAAAAATTTTTAGAAAAATATAGAATTCTAGTCTTTGTCTTTATCATTTCCTTAAAAAGGGTAACATTAACACTTCTGAAGCGGGAAGAATTTAACCCCAGAGCCAATATCACTCACAGCCCAGGAACTCTGAGCAGCTAACTCATTATATCAATTCAGTAGATTCCAAAAAAAGCTAACAAAACTCCAACGCCTGATTTTAAAAACAAAAAACCTTTTCAATAAAAATTAAAATGATACCTGAATATCACAAAGAACATCTGAAAACAAGGGCCAATAAAAATGCTATGTACTCAGCATGCTTTTACATTTAGCTTGTACTTTTAATTCTTTTTTGTCTTTTTTTTCTTATTTTAGTTTGTACTTTTTAAAGGAGTTGCAAAAGGAGCACATGAATGTACCTGAAAATGTTGGTGAAATGGGCAATTTTTTAAATGAAAACTTTTTGAAAACCTAAACAAGTAACATACAAATAGAGAAAATTATAAAAGTGAAGAACTATGCTCAAAAAAGGTGCCAGGCTCAAATTCACTGTAGTTATTCCCTAACCTTTTCAGTAAAAAACAGAAAACAGGAAACCTTCCCTATTTCTAATTGTAAAACAGACAAATTAACAAAGAAAGCCCAAGAGAAGAAAACTGTTAACCTCACTTGCCTTTCCTAGATTATTTTAACTTTTACAAATGTGGCATGAAAAGAATGGTATCTGGTTTCAGTCTTGACTTCTTTGATCCCTGTGTATAAGTTCTCTTATGAACCATGTGTGCCTTTTGTCCATTTTCCAGCAGGTTTGGCCTTTTCTTATTCATTTGTTAGAGCTCCTTGTAAATTAAGGACATTAACCCTTGTCATGTTGCAAACATTTTCCCCAGAAAAAGCAAATGACTGCTTTGCCATTCTGTTTATGCCACTTGAAATAAAAGACACTTCTAACATCTCTCTGATGTTAAATCTAATTATCTTTTCGCAATTTCTTCTATCACTTTTATGCTGTGAAAGTCCCGCCCTGTTCCAAGATCAGAGAAATACTCGCCATCATTTTCAGCTAGATGTTTTTGGTCAAAATAATTTAAAAATGATGAGCGGCCATCCTTTTAAAAATGCATATTCAATAAAATCATTGCTCTAACAAAATAGATGAGCCTAATTATATTCACTTTACTTGTAAAACAAGTGAGAAATGGCTAAAATATAACAGTAAAATACTTTATGATAAAATTCTATAAAGCCATTCTATAGTATACTATCTAGTGACATGGAGAAGGTCATAATTTGTTACGAAGTGGGGAAAAAAAGAACATCTCCAGTTATATAAAAACTACACTTATCTGGCAAGCCAGGCAAGCGAGACACCTAATATTAAGAGTAACAATGCCCCAGCCAGGTGGTTCAGTTAGTGGAGCATCATCCCATACACCAAAAGTATTGTGTGCTCAAATCCCAATCAGGGTACATACCTGGGTTGCGGGTTCGATCCCCATTGGGGGCACATAGAGGAAACATTTTTTTTTTTTAAGCGGGAAATTTTTTTTTTTTTTTTTTTTTTAAATATATTTTATTGATTTTTTACAGAGAGGAAGGGAGAGGGATAGAGAGTTAGAAACATCAATGAGAGAGAAACATTGATCAGCCGCCTCCTGCACACTCCCCACTGGGGATATGCCCGCAACCAAGGTACATGCCCTTGACCAGAATCGAACCTGGGATCCTTGAGTCCACAGGCAGACGCTCTATCCACTGAGCCAAACCGGCCAGGGCTAGAGGAAATATTTAATTCAAGAAAAGTGGGGCTGCACCAATCTTCTTAATTACCTAAAGATCTAGGAGTAATACCTGATTTATATTCCTGGCGAAATGGCCAAGTTAAACATGCAACCCAATGACAATTATCCGTGGTAGTCAAGTTAAACCCTGCTAACATAACGGTTCCATG